TTTTGTGTATAGACGCGTTATTTCAAAATAAGCTATTTCAAAATAACTATTTCAAAATTAGATATTTCGAAATAACGCTGTTGTGTAGACATACCCCCTGCCTTGACTAGATGACCTCTCAAAATCCCTTCCAGTCCTATGATTCTATCCCATTTTTGTTGCTTTTTTTGGGTCTTCAAACTAAGCTCATCTACACATATCTGAGGGAATGGGTTCATTTTTCAAGGGTAAAGCTTGAAAAGCTTTGAAGCAATATCAACTTTTACTCTTCATGCACTTGGCAAATATTACTATTATCACTCTTTTCTCCCTCCCCATCTTGCCCCAGCAGTCAAGGCAGCAGAAAAGAATGGGGTTCACATCAGGTCAGCTAGAATAAACAAATGAAACTCTAGCAAAGCGGAGAAGGCATGTTTGCCCCGTAAAATAAAAACAAGTCTCAGAGTGATCATCTATATGCCGTGGTATTGTAGCAGAGTCAGTTCCACAATATTATAGAGTAAAGGTGGGTGAACTGGGTCTTTCATTGGGCCAACTTCTGTTGGTGAGACAGATGCTAGTTTGGATTTTTAGGTATGGGTTTGTGTTCTATGGTTTCTCCCTCCCTCCGTGTGTCGTTATTCTCATAAGGATCTTGCACAAAAGGAGGGTTTTGTGCAAAGCGGAAGCGACTACACTGCTTCTTTTTGCGCAAAAACCCCTTGTGCAAAAAGAATCGGCAGCAAATATGCCAATGACATCGCGACTCCTGCTAATGAGTCCCTCATTAGCATATTTTCTGCCGCAAAAACTTGCAGTGAAGACAAATGGTGTTCACTTTCAGAAGGGACGTGGTTTTTCTCCAGCTTTTCTCATTCATCAAAGAGAAAAACCCGAGGGATGGAAAATACCTGGCTCACAATGAGAAACTTAAGCGATGACTTAATCAGCGTCTAAAGTACGTACCAGTGTACAAGCTTCCTTGATGTCTGTACGTTGCTCTGTACATTCGCCACTGTGGTTAGTACTTGGAGTTTTCCTTGAGCATGCATGAAAGTCGGTACAAAGGTGCCAATAAACTAAATGGAGTCCGTGACACCAAATCATTCCTGGTGTATCCTGACTGACCTAGTGGGGTAGAGTGTCCTCCACGCGCCTAATACGGTATCCTTGCTCTGTGTTCTGGAGCACTGGGTCCTGTCAGAGACAGGCTGTTGGACTAGATGACACTCAGGTGCTTCTGTAAGAGCTGAGAAAAATGGTTAGGGTTTGGGTAAGAAAGGCAGGGCTGGCAACAGACTCAGCTACACCTCGGACCATGTGGGGGAAGCTCAGCTCCAGGCTCTCCAGAAGGTGGGGACTCAGGTGGAAGGGGCTATTCTCCCTCACCCAGCCCTCAGTGCTGCCCGGATGACATCGCGCAGGGCTCCAGCACTGATTTAAGGTACCCGGAGCTCTGCCCCCTGCTGCTGCCATGGTATCACTTGTGGAGGCTGGAGTCCTGGCCCTAGTAAATCAACCATCCCTTTTGCTCCACCCCCATTGGTTGGATTGGAGTCAGTGGTGTGCTGTCATTTTAAATTATTGTTAGCATCCAGCACAAATTGTTAAAAAAAAACCAAGGGGGGAGGGGTGCGTGGTGAGAAAGAGGGGTTGCCTCCTGGCTAAGTACCTGATTAGTACTCAAAAATAATGACAACAATTATAACAAAAAATTTCCGTGTGATCTTGGGCAAGTCACTTAACCTCTTTGTACCTCAGTTTCTCTTCTGTAAAATACTGCTTTTCTCTTGCCTCTTTGGCTATAAGGCTGTACACTCTTTGGGGGCAGGGACTATAAAGATGTACAGCACCTAGCACAATGGGATTCATTCTGCTGGAGTATACCTAATCGTGTGTGTGTATGTGTGTGTGTGTACACCATGCACCCTGATTAGAAATGCAGGTTTTACTTAGGACTTGATAGACAGGATCTTTGGTCCTTTAGTCCAATGTTTCTCAAGCAGTGGTACGAGTACCCTTAGAGAAGGCTGGGGAGGCGGGTATGTCAACACAATGGAAATTTGGAGAAAACTGACTTTTTGTTTTAAGTTTTGCAGCACTTTATTATTTTTGTACTTTTTACACCCAAAAATTTCATCGCCCGCCCGGCTACAATTAAGTTGTTTAAACAAAGGTGTGGCAATGGTAGAAAACAATTGTGTGTGTCTGAAAACTGCAGGTACTGGGGGTACTTATAATATTTTTAAAGGGGTACTTTATAAAAAAAAAAGGTTGAGAAACACTGCTTTAGTTCAGTGTTCTATCTCTGATGATAGGCAGTACCAGATGTTTCAGAGGACTGTGTCAGCACTGCTTGTTACTCACTCAGCGTCTTACTACTAACACATATTTGAATAATTTAATGGAAGGATACAATTGCTGGACCTATAGGCCGATCGAGAGTGAAAGATATGATTATTTAATGAAATCCCATTTAGTTCTCAAGGAAGCTTCAGCATAAGGACCAGAAAGGCCAGGGACAGGCTGTAACAGCTTGTGCACTCACTGGGTTTGAAAACGGCCCATGTTTTACCCTCACAGACGAGATGAAAATATCCTGGCTTGCTGTGCCATGAAACCTGGGTTGGGCAATAATTTTTGCAGTGTGGCCACTGAGTGAATGTTGTTATGTGGTCATGGGCTGGCTCCACCCCCAGAAGGGGAGGGGCTTGGGGAAGAAGGGGCGGGGCTGGAGACTAGTTATTACTAGTTGTCAATGATATAGCTGCTCTGGGCCCTGCCATGGTAGCTCTGTGACTGGGAAACAGGTGCCATTTAAATTCTGCTGTCTGAGCCACTGCCTAGGAATTCGGTGTCAGGGCAGCAGGATGCAATCCGCAGGCCGGATCGAAGTGACAGGCAAGCCGGATCCAGCTCTTGAGCCGCATCTTACCCAACCTGGCATGAAACACTCTGTTGTCCTATTTCAGGGAGTTTTCATCGCTTTACAACTCTTTTTTAAAACATACAGCTCAAAGGCTACGTCTAGACGGCAGGCTTCTTTCGAAAGAAGGTTTCTGTGGAAGAGATCTTCCAAAAAAGCCTCTTCCAAAAGAGCACGTCCACACACAGAAGCACATTGAAAACGCGATCTGTTTTTGCGAAAGAGAGCAACCAGACTGACTGGACGCTCTCTCATATAAAGGGCCGCCCGCAATCACTTCAGCCAGAGCTTTAGGTCACCGGTTGCTTCCAAGTGCTGGTGCCAGAGCTTTGCAGAGACACGCGCTTAACGGGGCCCCCCTGGAGTAGTCGTTTCTCTGTGTCTGCTGCCTTCTTGCTACCTCTTCGAGAGACAGCAAAGCTCTCGCAGTGTCTGCTGTGGTTGCCCCGCTTTTTTGGACACCACAGCTTTCCTCTAGGTGCCATGGAGCCAGAGCTGCCCCTGGGCATGGGATGGCCCCACACAGCCAGGCTGCAGTTTCTATAGCACTTTGTGCCAGCTGCTTTCCTGGTCTTGACCGAGCTGGACCCCAAGCTCATTCTGGGGACCCCTCTCTCTGGCAACCCCACCCCACAGTGGAGAGGTGTTTTTGGAGGCTGGACACCAGTTCCGACTGGTGGGATCGACTGGTCATGGAGCAGAGGGACGATCAGCAGTGGTTCTAAAACTTCCACATGCGGAAGGCCACCTTCTTGGAGCTATGTGCCTGGCGCCCCCTCCCGCCATCCCCCTGGAGAAGCAGGTCACAATCGCCACCAGGAAGCTCGCCACCCCCGACAGCTACCAGTCAGTGGGCAACCAGTTTGGCTTGGGGAAGTCCACCATTGGGGCCCTCGTCATGGAGGTAACACATTCTGTAGTTGTAGACATACCCAAAGATGCCCTTTCTTTCTGACTCAGGGGGAGCTGTGTTAGTCTGTGACTTTAAACACAAATCATTCTGTGGCACCTTAGAGACGAATAAGCTCATCTAAAGTGGATTGTGCCCATGACAGCTTATGATCCTATATATATTTTTGTTAGTCTCTAAGGGTATGTCTACACTAGCCCCCTAGTTCGAACTAGGGAGGCTAATGTAGGCATTCAAAGTTGCAAATGAAGCTCGGGATTTAAATATCCCGGGCTTCATTTGCATCTTCCCAGGCACCAGCATTTTTAAATGTCCCTTAGTCCGAACTCCATGCCGCGTGTAGCCACGGGCACGGAGTTTGGACTAAGGGACATTTAAAAATGGCAGCGCCCGGGAAGATGCAAATGAAGCCCAGGATATTTAAATCCCGGGCTTCATTTGCAACTTTGAATGCCTACATTAGCCTCCCTAGTTCGAACTAGGGGGCTAGTGTAGACATACCCTTAGAGACTAACAAAAATATATGACTACACTTTCTTTCTGGGGAACAGGCTGAAATTCCTGGTAGGGTTCCCATGGAATAGCTTGCCAGCCTAACGCAGCAGGGTCGACCAAAATAAGTGATGCATAGAAACAATCATTACCACATGATGGGGCATTTACAGCACATGTGTCTCAAAGGCTATAATTTTGAGACAGTAAATGCAACCCGTGTCTTATTTGACAGCTGCAGATGGGTTGTCACTAGCTGCGGGTGACTTTGATTGACAACTTTATGACGTACATTAACAAATTTAGCCAATAAATTACCCACAGGATTTATTGGGTGGATAAATTGGCCTCGCAGAAATACACTGCAGGTGGAGTGAAAGTCATGATTTTTTTCATTCAAAATCTTGGGTTTTTTGAAGCTTTTTTTGTAAGAAAAAAAGGGTGGTCTTTTTGCTGGCAATTGGTAAGTTGCACACATTTTTGGTTTTGAAAATGTTCAGTTTTTTAAAAAAAACTGAAATAAAAAAATGTCAGTTTCAAAATGTTTTGAATTTTTGGTTGTAGTGTGAGGTTTTGTTTGCTGCTTGTTTTTTTCTACGTTTATCCCCATTGATCTTTTTCCCCCTTGAATGCAATAGAGTGAATGACCTTTCCTTTTTTTTTTCTTTCTTTTGCCTGTTTGTAACACTTTAGAACAGTGATAGAATGCTATTAGGAAAACAGAATCACACTTCAGCAGCCCAGCTGACCATGGATGTTCAGGGTTACCAATGAGTTCCAGCATGGAGCATGCAGGAGATCCTGGATCTGATTGCTGTGTGTAGGCAGAACTCCAAAGCAGCAGAAAAAAAGCTGATATCTATGCCAGAATCACAAATGCAAATGAAGATCTCCTCTGCAAAAAGCTTCTTGTGCAGAAACCCTGCGATGTAGACAAAGCCGTAGGTACCCATGAGGGCTGTACTTTGCAAGCATTCAATCACACGTGTTTTCTAAGTGGAAGCCAAGGAACAAGAACCCCAACCCGATCCTTGCCTTACCTGCCACCCAACCGAGCCCAGCTGCCCCATGCTGTGCCGTGTGTACTCACCTGGTAGGCACTTAAAACGATAACTTTGGCTTGCCACATAACACATGCTTTTTGGGCAGCCCGGTGTATTGTAAAAGAGTGAACCTTCTGTGTTTCTCAAGGTATCTTCTCTAAAGTCTAATTCTGTAGCTTTTTCCCCCACCACAGTGACAACAATGACTCTGTTGCCTGCTCCCTAAGATCCCCCAGCACTTTGGTTATCACCGATCAGAAAGCAAAAACATGCATGAGATGAATTGTTTAATGAGCAAATGCAAGCCACCCACAATGACCGAGCAGACCTGAACAAGTGGAGGAATGATATTATAGCTCAGATGCACCAAATATGAGGAGCAGAAAACACATAGGGGGTGAGAGGAGATCTGGAGGCAAGGGAAGGTGCAAACAGGAAAAACATTTGGAGCAGAGTCCCCCTGCACCCTGGAATAAATCAGCTTTCCTCTTCACCACGTTCCCTGGCCTCCTTTCTCCAGGACACCCTAGAATTCAGAGTGGGGGAAGGGTGTCGTCATGGGCAGTCTTTCACTCAACCCCTTTCAATATGCTCCATTTATTGCCCTGGTGTCTGACCGCTCATAATGAGCAGCTAGGTGAGCCCGCCCCCTCCCCTCCTGGAAATGGCACCCTTAACCCCGCCTACACTCACCCCTACCCAGCCCTCTCCCTGAATCCTGCACCCCCACATCCACACTACTCAGACCCTCCCATACCCACAGCCCCGTGTCCTGAGTCCAGAGAGGACATTCACCTTCCACTTTAAAAGAGGTTAAAGGGGGAGTTCGAAAAAGTGTTCCATTTCAAACCCTGCACAAAGAACATAACGTCGCACTGTTTCACAGATTTTTCATATGGAGAGTTGATATCCCAAGCTGTACTCCCTTATCCTGTAACATTCCCAGTGAAGGAAGTAATTACTCATGTGTGTGTCCGATGTCATCTCCTCCAAAAATAATGTTCCATTGAAATCTAATTTCCATACTGCAAGGAAGATAAAACGTTATTTGTTGGAAGAAAGTTTTGATTCTATGTCTTGGGAACATCTCCTTGAATTTTTATACACACAGCAACAGTAAATTCAACATGATGTCTCCATGTTTCAAAATTCCTATTACATAAGCATTTATCTCTGAACTGTAGTTTCTGAAGTGTCAAGTGCTCTGTTGAGTAAAAACAAGCATAATGTTGAAGACAATATCTTTAAAAAATCATACACACAAAATACCTCTCCATAATATATTCAAAGTGGCAGAGAATGCTTTGACTAAGGGAAGAGAAGCCAAGGAACTTGCAAGGATAATTCATGTTTCACTGCTAATAGTCAAGGCTCCAAGTCAAGTCCTGTTAGTTTTTTTTATTTCTTGTTTTAATTTAAACAGCTCTGCATTTCACAGAATATATATCCAAACTGGTTCTGCTACTTTAGACTAAATGTGTGAAAATGCTGAATGACAGAATTACCTAAGGGTAATAAATCTGCCAAGTGTTTTGTTAAACAGCCATTGAGTTTAAAACACATCTCAGAGTACTAGAATAACAATAGGCTACTGTACTATATAGCGCATTAATTATATAGTTGACAAGAAAATTACCCTTCAAATCAACATTAGTAAAAACTTTACTAAATCTGTTTTGCTCTACCATTAAATATATTGTCATCCAGAGGTTTTACAGGCCTTTCTTCACAATTACGATTTAAGCAGCATGGCGATTAAATGTTTAAGCCTGATTACTTTGGTACATCACCTAATATAGTTGCCATCTTCCTAAATTTTACTATAACAACTAAATACTTTGAGGAGCTGCCTTTTTAATAGTTCTGGCTTTTTTAGTATTGAATTTTGGTAAACATTAAGGCTATGTCTACACTGGCATGATTTCCTAAAATGTTTTTAACGGAAAACTTTTCCGTTAAAAGCATTTTCAGAAAAGCGCGTCTAGATTGGCAGGATGCTTTTCTGCAAAAGCACTTTTTGTGGAAAAGCGTCCGTAGCCAATCTAGACGCGGTTTTCCGCAAAAAAGCCCCGATCGCCTTTTTCGCGATCGGGGCTTTTTTGCAGAAAACAGTACTATGCTGTCTACACTGGCCCTTTTGCACAAAAGTATTTCGGAAAAAGACTTTTTCCCGAATGGGAGCAGCATAGTTTTTCCGGAAAAGCACTGATGATTTTACATGAGATCGTCAGTGCTTTTCCGGAAATTCAAGTGGCCAGTGTAGACAGCTGGCAAGCTTTTCCGCAAAAGCAGATGATTTTGCAGAAAAACTTGCCAGTCTAGACACAACCTAATAGTTGTTTGAATGTGTCACATGACTACACAGCGGCGCTAGCTCGAAATAAGCTACACAATTTGAGCTATGCAAATTGTGTAGTTTATTTTGCATTTATTTCAAAAATAACCCGCTATTCCAAAACGTCCCTTACTGCTCATGGAATGAGGTTTATGGGGACATCAGAATAGCAAGCCCGCTATATTTCGATATAATAGGCTTGCTGTGAAGATGCAGGACAGCTATTTTGGGATGCTCTGGTATCCCAAAATAGCATTACAGTGTAGATGTAATATCTGCTCTTACAGATAGCTGATAACCAGTCTGAAGGAGAAGCATCAGTATTTGAAAAACTCTCCCACACAAGTGAAATGACAAGGTATGCCACGTCTCGAAAGCAACACAAAGATATTGCAGATTAATTTGGGAAGAAAGAACAGTGTGAATAAATGCTGGTAGGCTGTGAACAAAATGAATGGTTTCTATCTATATGTGGCAAACTAAAAATTCAGTGCATGAACAAATAAAGAAACAGTTATTTGACAGCAAGCTCTGTAGCTAATTAGTTCAATGACTAGGAAAGGCTCTCAAAACTAACAACTCACCCAATACTTCTTCACCCAAAAGATATGATGACCTACCTTTGCTGAATACATATTATTTTTCATCTCCCACATCAATGTTAACAGGCCGAGCCCTGCAGAGATACAAAATTTGTATCCACAAAAATGAGCTGTGGATAACTCCGTCTACATCCACAGACGGATGAGGATACCTGCTGATATAAAGCAGATAGCCACACTTTTGCAGGGTTCTAGATGCAAAGTTTGTACGTGCATCTGCAAAAATGAACCACAGATATCTGAGTCCATATCCACCAATGCAGATACCTGTGGATGTCAAGCAGATATCCATGGTTTTGCAGGGCTCTACTAACAGAGAAGCCTGAGGGTATGTCTACACTAGCCCCCTAGTTCGAACTAGGGTGGTTAATGTAGGCATTCGAAGTTCCACACGAGGAGTAATGGTAGTTCGAATTAGAAAGCCAAATTCGAACTACCTACTCTGTGCCGCAGGTAGCCGCGGGCACGGAGTTCGGACTAAGGGACTTTTAAAAATGGCGGCACCCGGGAAGATGCAAATGTAGCCCGGGATATTTAAATCCCGGGCTTCATTTGCAACTTTGAATGCCTACATTAACCACCCTAGTTCGAACTAGGGGGCTAGTGTAGACATACCCTCAGTGTGGCCCACAGTGATGAAAAACTGACTCAAACCCCAAACCAGAAAAGGATTTTTGCACTAGCCACCATGTACAATGAGAATGTTACAGTGAATGCAAATTAGTTTCCCATGACCAAGGATGGTTAGACATGCACTCAAAATCAGGTAACTCTTTAGTGGTTTTTTTTTTTTAATCCACATTCTTAGATTTTAAAGTCTTTGAGGTGGGGAACCTCTTTTTGTACCATGAGCTCATCATCAGATGAAGTGGGTTTTACCCACGAAATCTCACGATACTATATATATTTGTTAGTTTCCAAGGGCATGTCTATACGAGGAAACAATTTCAAAATAAGTTTTTTCGAAATAACTCCCGAAATAGCTATTGCGAACTAGCACATCCACACCACAAGGCACCATCGAAATAGAGCAGAATTATTTCAGAATAGCGCATACACAGTGATATATATACTCTGTGCCTAAATAGTATGGGGTGTGTGTGTGCAGAACAGCTTGTTAATGTGTTTGCAGATGGAGCGGGAATCTTGCCTGCACAACTCCATGAAGCTCTCACATAGGAACTCTTTGAACCTTCTCATAAGGTTTTGGGGAGGCCAGCCTTAATCCATCCTCAACGGTAGGACACCTTCCCACACCAAGCCACCTGTAAGTGGTCTGGTATCATTGAACTACAAAGCACTGCAGCATAAGGCCCAGGTGGCTGGCGCAGCGGGACGCGATGGAGGGGCACTGGAGAAAGCAGGTGGTGGGCTCAGTGGTATGATCAGCCCATCCAGTGACCATCTCAAGGGGATCTCTGTGACCCAACCTGTCACAGTGAGTTCTTGTGTTTTATATGCTTAGTCTGTGTTAAAAGACAGACCAATGGGGTTTTATAAAGTCTGCAGCTCCAAATCAGATCAGGTTGAAACTTGACATTCAAGTTATTAGTGCGGAGATCCAATTTGGGCTTATCTACTTATCAAAAATACGTTTAAACCCACTCAGCTGCTGCTGAATTACAGAGGTCTAAAAACATAGGGGCACTTTTTCAGATGTTCTTTTCTCAGTTTTGAGGTGAACTGTACTCTCAGGATCTAATTGAGCTTTGGCTCAGGTAAGTATGGGCAACTCCCAATAACATTAACAGGACAGCTTGCTGTGTTTTGCTAGGACTAATTTGGCCATACATACTCCCTATTTATTGGCAGGAATTCTTTTATATTGAATAAAATCAACAAGGAGTCCAGTGGCAATAATTTACTAAGCAACTAGGGCATAAGCTTTTGTAAGATACAACTCTTTTCCTCAGACGTTGAAGAGAAAAAAAAGAAAGGAGGGGTTACAGAGATGGGAGTGGGACATCAGGGCTAATTAAATGAGAATGGATGTGGCTTAATTCCAACAGGTATGAGGTGAGCATACCTGAATGGGAAAGTACCTGTTGTAATATGAGAACTGTCTGTGGTTTTGTTTGTTGTTGTTTTGGGTTTTTTTTGCCTGAGAATGGCAACTTGCTGTCAACTCACAGGGGCATAGCCAAACAGGATTATGGGTTCTCTTCACAACAGAGTCGATTAGGGATAGTTGCTTATATTAATCTCATTATACATCACTACTATTACAGAGTTAATACTGCCAAGTGGTTACACACTACTGAACAGTGACACATCAATAAGCGCAGGCAGAGCAATGCATAAGAGAGCACTTAGAAATGCTTACGCCCCTTCAGCCTGCGGGGAATCCCGTTCCTGTCACCTTACACCAGGCCACAGTGGACGTGGCTCCAGCTGGGGGAATCCAGAGCACCCTCCGAGGTCTAGGTCCCTGGTGAGATTCATCGGGCCCTATAACAGCTATACTACAGGGGTGCGTCTAGACTGGCAAGATTTTGCGCAAAAGCAACTGCTTTTGCACAAAAACTTGCCAGCTGTCTACACTGGCCACTTGAATTTGCAAAAGAGCACTGACTTTGTAATGTACAAAATCAGTGCTTCTTGCACAAATACTTTCACGCTCCCACTTGGGAAAAAGCCCTCTTGCACAAGAATACTTGCGTAAGAGGGCCAGTGTAGACAGGGAAGAACTGTTTTGCACAAAAAAGCCCCGATGGCTAAAATGGCGATCGGGGCTTTCTTGCGCAAAATCACGTCTAGACTGGCCATAGATGCTTTTGCACAAAAGCACTTTTTGCGCAAAAGCATCCGTGCCAATCTAGACACGCTTTTGCGGAAATACTTTTAACGGAAAAACGTTTCCGTTAAAAGTATTTCTGCAAAATCATGCCAGTCTAGACGCAGCCCAGCTGTTTACTGGGTGTGCGCATACTGGCCCAATGCCACTCTCAACATTCCCACGGGACTGAGAACTGAGGTCATGTTATTTATCCCATACTCAGCTCTCAGCTAGGCATAGGGCTACAGCTGATAAAGGCCACCTGATAAAGAATACCTGGTTTTTCCGCCTGCAGGGTTCATGACTGGCCTAATGGAATAGAACTTTAACCCCTGCAGGGCTACATATGACTTACACTACACTTGCAAGTCAGAAACTGTGTCCAGGGAGGTTAAAGTGCTCCCTCCACTGTTTTTTGTATGTTGCCATTCTTAATATCTGATTTGTGTCCATTTATTTTTTCCCTCGAGACAGTCTGGTTGGTCCGATGCAGAGGGGCATTGTTGGCACATGATGGCATAGATCACATTAGTAGATATGCAGGTGAACAAACCTTTGACGTGGATAGCTGATGTGATTAGGTCTTGTGATAGTGTCACTAGAGTAGACGTGTGGACAGAGCTGGCAACTGGGTTTGTTGCAGGGATAAGCTTCTGCATTAATGTTTCTGTTGTGGGGTGTGAAGTTGCTGGTGACAGCCCCGCAACCTAACACAAATACCACCAACTTCACACCCAACCCTCCCCCTACAAAACTATCCAAATAAATTTTTTCTTCAGTCAGGTCAGTGACATCCCCAAAACTCATTACAGTGATTCACTTCTTTCTCAGCCCAGGAATTCAGTGAGCCCTATCTTGTTTCAGGGGAACGTTTGTGGGAGAAAGGTGGCAGTAACAATATAGTACATGTCTGGCAATCTGAGTGGAGTGACAGGGCATGCTGATAAAACATCCAGGTGTTGTTTTCTGAACGGTTTTATTGTACACCGTATTTCAACAAAAAGCCGCTCAAGAACTCTATCCTTTGGAGGGATCAACAGCATAAATATAATTGAAGGCTACTGCATTGAGCCTGCTGGTTATAAATCAGAGGTGTACATTCTAGGTTGTACGGGAATGTGCCTGACATGTACACTTATGAGATATAAGCAACCTTATCAGGAGAATTACTATGTATTTGTCAACAAGATGTCAATCTTACTGTACAATGTGACCTTCTTCATCCTAGAGGTTGGCAATAGGATAGTTGACTGCAGTTTTACATGTCCCAGGGGCAGAAGACACAAGCAATATAAATACTGCCCCCACAAGTATTTCAGGGCCTTGTGTACACTGGGTAAATTCACTGGCAGCATTATTCCACTATAGCCAGGTCTCCACTTCCAGAGAAAGTAGACCTAAGATACACACTCCAGCTACAAGAATAGAGCAAGAGTCAACATACCTTAGATTGAATTTCCACAGAGTCCCCACTGTGGGAAGTTGAAAAGAAAAACTCTCCCATCAACTTCTCTTACTTTTTGCAATTGGTGGAGTCAACAGAGGCACCATCAGTGATCGATTTAACAAGTCTTTACTAGACCCACTAAATCAAACCCTGGGAGCTTCAATCTTGGGGTAAGTGAAGACAAGCTCTATAATTTAGCTATTCTGGAATACGTTTTTTCCCATATGGACACCCATTCTGAAATAAATGTGATTTGATTCTGGAATATTTACTCACTTTTGCAAGTAGAGTAATTATTCTGGAATATAGTCACATTTATTCTAGAATGGAGTGTAAACAGAGGGAGCTATTCTAGTACACAAATTCCTTGTGTAGCAAATTGATCTGGAGATATGGACACATTCAGACCACATCTTCACTCTGAAGAAGATCAACGCTGCCGCGATCAATCTTTTGGAGTTCAACTTAGCGATTTAGAGTTCTATTTAAGACTCGTTTAATCGAACTCAGAGAGTGCCCCCGCTGGCATCCAGTACTCCTGCTCTTGCAAGGAGTAAGGGAAGCTGATGGGAGCATTTGCTCACAATGGGTTCCCATTGTGGGGATGCTGCCAAGTTTGGTTTAAGGTAAATCCACTCCAGCTTTGTAGACTCGCCTGTGTCTACAGATCTAGGGGACAATGTGTGTACTGTAATTTGAAAATCACAAGTAATTGATTTGTGAAGCATCTTCAGAAAAAACGGCGAGGAGTCCTGTGGCACCTTATAGACTAACACGGCTACCCCTCTGATACTTCAGAAAAAAAACATGCAATTCCTTTACTATGACATTAATGGAGACAAAACTAATAT